CCCCCCCCCACCCCCCCGAGCCTGGGGAGTTGTTCCCAGGGGTCAGCAGAGCCAGAATGCCTCAGACACCCCAGACCGGCCGCGGGGCCTCGGAGGCTCCGAGCAGGGCTGGGTTCTTTGGTGGGAAAAGGCTTTCAAGGCCGGGGTCCCCCCCAGGGGCCTGGGGTGCGCGGTGCACAGCCATCTGCCCTGCGCTGGCTCCAGGCTCCTGCCTCCCAGGGTGGCACAGGCCTGGCCCTGTTCGTTCCCAGCAAGATCCCGAGACTGCTGCCGCCTTGCTCCCTGGAGGCCTGACCCTGACCCTGGGCAGCAGCACTTCGTCCCCCACCCCCTGGCCTTGGGCCAAGGCTACCTGTGGGGCCGGGGCCACCTCGCGTGAAGGTGGCTGGACTGGCTGACCTCGCCTGGGTTGGCTGGGCATGCCGGCCGGCCCCACAGCCAGGGAGGGGGCTGCCCTGTCTCTGCTGGGCCGGGTGGGCCGGGCCAGGCTCCGTGGGTGACTCAGCGGTTAGCAGCACCCAAGCCCTGCCAGGCCTGTGGGAGGTGGGCAGGCATCGAGCGCAGCCTGAGCCTGTGCAGCTGGGCCTGACTCTTTCCAAGAGGCTGCGGAAGTCTTGCATTTGCCCAGTTTGGGTGTAGAGCATCACACCACCACCGCTAATTAAATCCCAGAGTGAAAACATGTTTTACTGCATTTCCCACTGAGTCCAACAAGCCACAGGGAGTGTTGTGGGGCCTGCACCCACTCCGCACGCCTGGGGTGGGGCACCGTCCCAGCTGCAGGCCCCTCCCTCCTGGGGGTGGAGGGCACAGGCTCTGGGCACCAGCTCCTGGTGGGTGTGGTGGGCACTTCTGGTCTGGGCAGTGCCTGGGAGTCAGCACAGTGGGCAGGCCCTTGTCCCCTGAGGCTTCTGAGGGGTGCCTGGGACCCAGTGCCCCTTCCCTGGGCTTGACACAGGGCCCTGCCTTGTCCTGAGTCTCGTTTGGAAGCTGGCCCTGCCTGTCCACTGTGTGGGGGTCTCCTGAGGTCCCCCCGGGGCCCAGAAGGCCTGGGGCAACTGAGGAGGGGGCAGTTTTGGGGCATCTACCCTGAGCGCAGCTGAAGTTGGAGCCCCATGGGAGCTGATCCCCCAAAGCCTTTGTGGGCCCCACCCCACTGCCCCCCATAGCAGCGCCCAGAGGGAGCCCTGTGGTCGCCCCACCCACCCAGCAGCGGAGGGCCAGGCTTGGCTCCTTGCCTTGCCTCGGGCCCCACGGGAAGGCTGCTTGGCCCACCAGGGCCCATGAAGCTCCAATAATGGTTTTAATTTGTTGAACTTGTGTTTTATCCCATAAATTAGTCACTGTTTTATTTAACAGAATCGAGATATCCACAAACAATAGGCGAGTTCCAACTTGAACATTTTAATAAGACAGAAAAAAGTATATATTTTCACGTCTGTTACAAACATATTTATGTAAATAGCCCGTGGGCTGCGCTCCAGAGGGAAGAGAGGGAAGGGCCTGGGCGCTGGGCGGCGGGAAGGAGCTTCTGCGGTGGGGATGGCACTGAGCTGGGTGCTGGGTGCTGGGCACGCAGGGGCCCGGGGCACGGGAGAGGCAGCCCGGTCCGAGGCGCCCCGCCAGGGGAGGACCGCGGCGGACTTCCCAGCCCTGTCCCCTCCTCAGGACAGCGGTGTGGTCCCTGCAGGAGTGGCACCCAGTGAGCCGTCCTCAGAGTGGAAGAAGGCGATGGGGGCCCTGGGAGGACTGGCCCCCTGGAAGGAGGTCGGCTCAGGGCACAGCTGGCGAGACCGTGCAGAAGATGAGGCTTCATGACAGGGGTCACCGTTCAGGAGTGTCAGGGTCAGCGAGGCGGGAGGCCCCAGGGGAGTGCTCCCACTACCCGGGCTTCTGGGGGAGCCCCAGCCATGGTGCCACCAGGGCCTGGGGCGGGTGGCCACAGACCCGGGAGTTGGCCCCCTCTGGCTCTGCCCCCACGTGCTGCAGGCAGGAGCCGAGCCAGCATCCGGATCGGATCCGGGTACACGCCGTTCCCAGCCCAGGCAGGTCCCTGCAGGAAGGAGGAAGGAGCTGAGGGAGGAGGCAGATGGGTGACCCTGCCCAGCGCCTGCCCAGTAGCCTTGGCCGACAGAGGAGAGGGCTGCCCGGGTGGGGGGCCTGGGGAGCCCGTGGAGCCCGTGGGGTCCTTGCCAGAAGCCTGTTCGCCTCGGCCCGAAGGTGGCTCTTGAGTCTCCTGTGGGGCCTTCAGGCAGGGCTGAGGGAGGAGGCCATCCTTCAGACGGGCGAGGCCAAGCCCCCACCATCTGCCCCAGCCCCCTGGGGACCTTGGCCTGATCCCAGGGGCGAAACTGGTCCTCCCCCTTCTCTCCCAGGGTTGAAGGGTCACCGACACCCCCGCCTCCCTGCCCGGCACCCGCAGCTCGGCGGGGCTGTGCCACCCTGCACGGCTGGGTCATCGCCAGCTGCTTGGGGCTGATTTTAAAAATAAGAGAGAACTTGATAGATTTTTTTTTCCAGTTTTTATTGAGTGAAAATGTCAAACCTTGCATCAGTCATGCAAAAAAAAATCAAATAAATAAAACACATATATTAAATTTCTAATAGCACTAAATTCAAGTGGAAAAATATTCAGTTCTTAATAACCAGGTGCCGAGGAGACCAGATTCAAGTAATCAGAGCACACGCTGTTCAGTTCGGTTCTCACGTTCTGCATTTTTTGTCTCAAAACCTCTCTATATATCTCTATATATCTATATATGTATATACATATAGATATATACACACATATGTGCATACATGTTATTTTATATTTATATATATACACATACATAGTTATAAAACATTAAAAAGAGCATTGGTGGATCAAGCATCGTTTTCCCCACAGAAAGAAAATAAAACAAAAATTACACATTAAAATTCAAAATGAGCTAGCAATGGCTTATAGTCCTAGTGTGCAATATGAAGGTTACAAAAGGCTAGACTTCGCACTGTCGGCGTCTTCTTTTTTCTTTTCTTTTTTTTTTTTGTTTGATTTTGCTACATTGAAAAATGTTTGTTTTTGTTTTTTTTTCTTTACAAAACTTCCTCCACAGACTCCCCGGTCTGGGGCCGGGCACAGTCTGGGCGAGCGCTCAGCAGCAGCACGTGGTGCCCACAGAATTCAGGAGGCTCTGGTGGGGCTGTTCTAGAAACGCGATGTTTCCCGGTGAATCAGGCACACTCCGTCTGACCGTCCTCCCTCCCCGCTCCCTCTCCAGTTCCGATGATCCTGGCTTCTGGCTGTGGGCAGGCCAGAGGGCAAAACAGAAAAAAAGAAAGAGGACGCCACGGCCCCCGTTGGGTGGGGCTCCCCTTGGAGACCTGTAGGGAGGTGGCTCTGGGTGACAGGCCTAACCCCCAGACTGGGCCTTGCTCTCTTCCTGTGGCCGGAGTCTCAGGGGCCCACCGGAGCCCAGCTGGGAGCCTGGAGTGGACAGGAGGTGGACAGGAGGGGCGGGTCCTGGGTCCCTGTCGCCCTCATAGCCACTGGCCAGGCCGGTGCCTGTCAGGCGGGGCCGCTCTGGGCCTGGTGATATTATCTCCAGGAAGGGGGGATGTTTTGAAAAGGGAACCAAATCTGGGTGGGTAACACCAACAAAGAAGCATCCCAAACAGAATAATAAACTGGGAAAGGAAAAAAAAAAAAGCCCTATAAAGCCACACACATAACCAATAGAGAAAAACTCAAATGTTAACTACAAACTTGTATCAATGGTAATAGTCCTTTTCTCTGGCCTCTAAAAAATTCAAGTGAAAAGTTGGAATCTCGAAGCTCCCGTCAGTGCTAGTGTAGAGCCGGCCTCGGCCTTAGGCCTCGGGTACACGCCCAACAGCCCCGGGAGCCATTGCACTGTCTCCAACCTCAGGGCGGGCGGAGGCGGGCGGCGCCCTCACCTCCCGCCTGCTTTTTTCTCTTTTTGTTCTATGTAGAATAATAACCTTGACAGGAAAAATACTGTACAACTTTCTTGCTTTTTCCCCCCCATTTTGACTATTAAAGCCCCAGTCGCATCTCTCCTGGCTGAGACCTGGTGGGCCCAGCACCTCTTCCTTTAAGCCTTTCCCGGGGCTGGTGCGGGGCCGTCCCCAGGCAGGCCCAGGGCGCCCCTGCCGTCCCCAGCCCTCAGGAGCAGGTGCCGGGCCAGGCCCTGCCGTGGGGACAGCGTGACCGGGAGCTCCTACTTCCATGAGGTGTCCTCCCAGGTCCTGTATGGTCGCCCTGCTGACGCCTTCCGCCCCGCCCTCCCCCAGGGCGAAGGGAGGGCCTGCCAGATGCTACAGGTGCGGCTGCCTCTGGTGGTTACGGGTGGGGGTCCCAGTGACCCCCAGCACCCGACCCCGTCCTGAGCAATAGGAATCCCACTGGCGTGGGCTTGGGGCCCGGGGAGGATCGCGGGGGGGCAGCTGCCCGGGGTCTGCGCCCGCCTCGCCTTCGGGGACCCCTGCTCCCCTCTCCTACCCCGGACAAGAGCACCTAATTCCCTGAAGAAGACCCCGACCTGCAGCCAGAAAGGGGCCCTCGCAGCCAGTCCTTCCAAACGCGGGGCTGCGCGGGCGGGCGGCGGGCGCGGGGCGCCCCGGAGCACCAGACAGGGCCCCGCCTCTGCCCTGAGACGGACTCGGGGTCCGGAAGCACCGGCGGGGCAGCGAGGGGGGTCGAGCCCGGAGCGCCCCGACGCCGGAACC